GCTGACGAACTGGGCGTCAACGTAGGACCATGCCATCAAATTCTAGCTCCGTCGAGTGATGTTGTGTGCAGTAAGAGATCTGAACTGGGAACAAACCAGATTTGGATGTTGCAACATGACCATGAGCCGGCTCACTCATCTCTCCTTGTCCGCAGCTGTCTAGCAAAACATCACATTCCGCTGTGCCCCATGCATCTCAATCTCCTGACCCAGCTCCAGGAGACATTTTCCTGTTTCTCTGTTAAAACCCCCTTGAAGCGAAGTCGCTTCTAAACCACAGAGAAGATTCAGGACAACGCGAAAAGATACCTGCGCGCCATCCTAGAAAGTGTTTTGCAAGAGGTTTTTCAAAATTGGAAGCACCGTTTGGGACGGTGTATTGCCAGTAGGGAGACTACTATGAGTGGGAAAGTGCATAAAATGTTGTGCAATGAGCGAGAAGGACGTCAAAGTAAAGTTCACTTTCTTTTTGAGCACACCTCGTACACCCATCATTCACTTGAACAGATACCCACTGAATTTCATGATAAGCTTTTGGTTAGTACACATCAAATGGCCATTCATGCACCATCGTGTGAAACTATGCGAATCTTTAACTGTGGCCGCTTGATCGTCGCTATCGTCGGCTGCACTCACAGATAGCAGCCGCGTGTAACATCACGCCAGTTTCACTGCTTTGTGGACCCATCCACTGTAGTGTCTATCCATCCGAAATGATGTTCATTGGAATGTCAGCCATAAATGACAGTTTTTGTAACGGCACTGAGGATCAATTCTTGCTGTCCTGTCAAGGGACCTGAGGCGTCACCATGCTTACCTACTAGATTATATAATGTAAAGACAGACTTCGCCAGGCACTACAAGTGTGCTTGAATTTCAAGCCACATGAACTAGGTTAGCGTAGGTCTGAAACAGTCGGAATGGAATATATCTCCGTTGAAAACCTGCTAAAAAGTAAATGCTTCTTGATACAATTGACAGAACCGTCTTATCGCTGGCTGCCGGACACGGTTAGGTAAAGCCAATAAGCCAAATTCGCATCTACACATGCCATTGGTTGCTGGCCAGTGACAGGTTGCGGATGAAACAAGTCAGATTTTCATGCGCATGCTCGTCTATCGCCTTCCCCTCGAGCATTATTCACACTCCACGGAAAGCATTGGAATACGTGCCGCGGGGCACAACCAATGATTTGGAGAAGCAGCATGAAGTAAGCGACCTCAAGCTTAGCATCGGTCGGACTGGTCCACCTTCCAGGAGGGGGATCACACGGCTCGGACTGCCAGTGGTTAGAAACACTGGAGGTAATGGTGCTCAAGAAACATCAGTAACGATAGTGTTGTTTAACCGCATCATTAATGTCTAGTCGAACATCTATACAAAAAACAGAACAATAACCCTCCAAATGACGAGTATAAAACCCAAAAAATCCTTTTGTTCCGCTATTGTATTTTGTTACCCTATTTTTTGTCACCAGATTGTGAATATATATATACATATATATATCATGCGCCTCACCGGATAATTAGTTGGGGATTTTCTAAAAACAACCAACAACAATCAATCTGAAGATCAAAATTGTGACCGAGGAAATCGGCCATTCCACCCTTGATGCAACCTGCAAGCATAACCCATTTGGCTTTCCTAATAAACAAAATGTGTGCTTTGTTGCTGTTGCTTGCTGGTGTTTGAGCTTGTCATGCGAGATGGCGTAAAGAAACAATTGCATTATATTCTAGGTTGTTGAGTCTACTCGGTGTAGGCGCAGAGACAACAGATCCCAGGAGATAATCTGAAGTGTGGCAAACAGTGGGAAGTGGTTTCGATAGTAATATTATGACTGAACTTCCCCAGATATAGGTACTCATGGCCGGAGTAAGTTTAATTCTCGCAAGCCATCGCCAGTTCGCACCGCAAAGGCTATCGTACGTTGAAAAACCGGCTACATCGTCTTTTCTAGAGCAAACGAACGTAACCCAATGATTTCAGTCGCCGGACGTTGCTTACTGACAAAAACGATGTGATCTTGCTACTGTGTTTGTTACCAGGACTGACTTATACATTTCTTTTGGTGGCTTTTGTATACATCGATCAAATATCGGAAGATTGTTGACGAATTTTGCGGCAACTGCTTCAAGCCGAGCTCAATGAGCATCTAAAAACCGGTTGTCGCACGTACACAACAGAATTTAAGGTAAATTGATCATCATTTCTCGTGGGAATAAACAACGCTTATGAAAACTGACTAGAGTATACCAGGGGTTTGTGACTTGGTTCCCCTTGTACGTGGAAGTGCGCAAAGCCTTCAGCCATGCACTAGTAATTGTGACTTGTATTTGGCATCAACGTTCACACCCCTGAACAGAATTCCCTAGTATGTCTGGTTTATAACTACAGCTACAGGGACTAGCAACTGATTAAGTATATCGGTACTTCGATTGCATTCCTGTGAGGTTTCTTCAATAACCACGTTGAAAGCTTTTTTCACTGTTCACCCATCGTACCCTGGTGTCTCTGTAGCTTCGGATTAAACTCCTCCAGCAGAGTTAAATCGGCTAGGGTTACGACTCGGAAATTCCTCTTTACATTTGTGCTGACTACTATATTCCCGGACTCCGCGATCAACATCTTTGTAAACGATTAAGGCTTTTCCGCCAATGCGAAACGCACGTGTAATGGGAGGGGGGAATCGCTCACACAGCTGTCAAGATAATCATATAACCAGACCAGACGCGGCACGGAATATGCAGATTGTACTGCAACCACCAGTGGAATGCAACCGAATCTCGTTCGACCACGCTGAATTGAGGCTTAGTAACCATAAAAGGGGGTCAATAGTACGTCAAAAGTACGTCAGTGGGCTGCACCTATGCTTCGCTACCACGCGACCACCACTAGTCGCGCGCCGGTTAGGGATATAGCGAGATCGAACCGCGTACGCAAATTCGAACGGGTTACAAGCCAGACGCTTCATCCCTTTGGTCATCAGCCGGCTTCATTATGGGCTGACGATCACTCTCCGATACGGCTTTTCCCTTTTGTCTGGCGTGAGCCTGAATGCATTCAATTTCCAGCTACCCCTCGGGGCTCGAATGTTTGAGGTAAGGCGGTACGCCAATCAAGGATTGTATACGGTGAGACTCCACAAACGGCTTACAATGAACAGTGCGCTGTTGTTGTTCGCGATAAGGAAGGCACTCGTGGCTGCAATGTCACTTGCAGCTGTGGTAGGAGGTACTTCCGACACACGACCAGACGTCTGTCAAATCGGATAGCGGAACACTGTCCGCCTCATTACAACCTGGTACTCCACAGATCCATCCTTGAACACCTGATAGATAGTGGCAATGACATACAGACAAAAGATGCCTTCAAAATAACATCGAAACGCTTCCCAAATAGACTCAGTGAAAACACCTATTGGCCACAGCAGAAGTAATTGCGATCAAGCGACTTGAGCCGAAACTGTATAGATAGCGTGTATCGTTCAAAGTTTAGCCCTACTGTGGCCGTACCCTAGAAAGCTGCTTTCAGGCGTAGTGATTAATGGTAGTGGGTTTAAATTGGTATCCATTGCCACCATACCTTCAGTCGACGCATGCACGACAAACCGCCGCACCGCTAATAGTAGCTGCTATTCCAATGATTATGAATCTCATGATTGTAACTGCCTGGTGAGATTTATCGAAAAGCAATTTCTTTGCAGGTTTCATTTTGACATTTTCATTTGCTTGGTCAGATAGGATAAGTGGTCGTTATTCGCGAGAAAGTAACGGGCTCCTAAACAGTAACTTCAAATCTGTTATGTTTGTATTCTGTTTTTTACATTACGCTTAATCTGACTGAAGGGTTTCTTGTTTGAACCACAGAGCTTATTCATCTCACTCAGTGAAGCGTGAGTGTCGCAATCCATCCACACACCAGGTACTTTAATGTGAAACGTTGTGATGAGCGCTACTCGCAGCCCGGGGGCATATTAGCAGTTATTTCAACTGATAGCAAGTCGTAGTCCCGCCTCTCTGCTTGTTGCGCAGTGCTGTGATTTTGGTACACAGCGTGCTGGTGATAACATAATTCTGATGGACGCTGTTTTGGGGGTGCACAGTTCTATTATTGTACCGAATGGAGGAGTACTGGATTTACACACAAGACTTCATGATTGTCGCTTTTTCCATTGACTACAAAGCTGCCAAATTATGTGATCAGCACCTATCATAGTGGATAGCAATGTATGGACTTTAGCTAAATTACCTATTTTGTGGCTAGATTGAGACGCGCAATCTCAAGTAGCCCGTGTACACTTGATCGACTACTGAATACTTGATAGAGGCAGCAAAAGTAGATGTCAATGTGTGGCTGCATCTAAAATCTTTCAGCTACAATGAGTTATTATGTTGGAGAGTATTCCCGTTATGTTATGTCAGCAAAATGTATGTCCAGGAACCTTTTGAATTCTGACACCGCCTTCGCTTTAACAACGTGTGGCGGCAAGTTATTTCATGTATTCACTACTCTCCGTTCGAAGCAGAGTTGGCGGGCGACCCACTTCAAAACCGGTACTACAAGCTTGTGTCGGTGTCCTCGTGTGCTGCTTGGTGTGCACGTTTGGAGCAGCGGCCTCACACGGGGTACTCGCCAAGATGTAATATCTGGGTGCATGATGAGGTCAACCCGCACTGGATGTTAAGGCAAGGTGTGAAGTCTTACCCTCGGTTGCCCCGCGTACTGCAACCCTAGTCTCGGAAGTAGAACACTACCTATCCTGTATATTCATCTGATGCACTGTCAGACACGCGTCAACAGCCTCATTGGTTGGCTAACGCCAACTTAACAGTGACAAGCAAACAGATCAGATACATTGCAAAGTGGCATTCAGGCACCCCACAAATTGAGCTTCAGGCTGTGTTTGCATCTATTTCGACTAGTCCTGATGATTTTACGAGAATCGTTTTTTATAATGAAGTTGGCACAACAAAACGCTGCTTCCACTTCGTTTACAGGATGCACTTGCCGATTTCACTGGAAAAGGAACTCTGCAACATTGTAACTAAACAGAAATTCAAAATTTGGTGCATCACTAAGCAATTCACAGTGACTATCAACAGTCTGTCACCTACATTCCATTCCACATCCTCGCTGGCAAGTCAGGCCCCATTGGCGCTTTGTGTTCCACAACTCATGAATTCCATTCAGCAGCATACGCCTCATCTGCTGTTTGCGCAGGAGGTCTGGAATGGTGAGCAAGGTGAGATAAACGAACTAGGAGAAGAATTCGCACAAGCTGCAATTGATATCTATTTTGAATCGCTCACAACTAGTAAAGAGGAGGATGGGTCAATCTGTTCCCAGTACACCACATCCGTTTCAATCCCCTTATCCAAAGAGTCCAATCCGTACGCAGAGGCCGCGGACGTGTCAGACGCGTCCTCATCGTTCTGTGCGAAAAGCATTGACGACAATTATGAGCCAATTGATTCACCGCCCCACGAGGAGGAATTCGATTGGTCGGTATATTATCACCATGGTAGACGACTTACGCAATATAATCCACCAGAACTGGAGCCCATTTCGGGTATTCGGTCTGCTCCAACCAGGCTGGAAAACATGTGGGACACATTTGGACAATTACTTATGCCTTACTTCATTCCGTACAGCTGAGCACAATACGATGACCCAGATGAGTTTGCGTTCTCAACCATGCGAGAATATAACCGTTGGGAGGATCACGTCCTTCCTTCTCTGAGGAAGGTGAGTGACTCACTCTTTCGGTCGAGTTGTTTTCACCGCGATTGTAGTAGAATCTTTTCAACAATTTACTCAGAAGGCGTATACCTATTCCGTGTATTGACTGTAGTCTGTTTAAGGTTAAAACAGACGCAGATGGAACCCGCAAAGCAGTATGTTTGTTACCTTGAAGTGAACACTACTGCGTCAAACGAACCAATCAGTAATGATGGTCACTGTTCCGCTATTGATCAGTGCTGTCAACGGCGCGACAGTCACGTGAGTGTGTGCAGTTAGCCGGATGTGACACTCATTGGAAGCACACGCGTACGTAACGCAAACACCTTGTGGGTATTCCGGGGAAAGCATCAGTTGGTTGTACATTTACTGTACTCACCGATAGCACATAATTGGCTATCGTAGTACACCTTTTTCAATTTGTGCACTTTAGTGGGCACAGGAAAGCGAATAACTATGCCGTAGGTGGTGAATACTACTGTATGTTACAGCACATTTTACAGTTCAGCGGCGCAGTAAAGAAAGGGCATAAACGCATTCGGGCACACAAACGAAATAATTGGTAATGGACTTATTTTGGTGAACTGCATACCTAATCCATCTAATGTCTCCTCATGTTACAGAGTAGGCAGAAACGGTATCCTCGATCTCAGTAGAATTATGTTCTTTAACTTATTCTGTTTCACAGCGACCCAGCAACAACTCTAAACCATTTTTCTGAGCACATATCTCACACAGTTGTAGGGTATTGGAGCAAGCTATAGGATAATCACTTGGGCCAAATGACAGGTGCTTGCCAGTTTTGAGTAGTTCATGCGTCGATTGCTGGATTCATCTCCTTAATACTCTACAACGAGACTGTAAGTCCCACTGTTTGAAACAATATTCTATGGACACGGACGCACGACTTGATTCCTACGACAAACTGAACGAACTTCTAGGTAGCGGAGTCGGCAAACTTGGTTCCATGACAATAATTACAAATCTACAAAAGTAACTCATAACTAATTGGAGGGTTTTGCTTGAATCGCTGATTGTGGGAATGGATTGCGGTGCGCAGAATTTATTACTGCCATGGAATAGTGTAATCAACTATATTCCCTCACTCTTGGCGGCCCAGTAAGCGCAGACAACGGGCATTTACAGTCTCAAACAACCGTCAGCGACGGCGATTTCAATACGGCCACATACAACCCCTCTGCCATTTGCGAAGAAAAGACGTTGCCGCTACAGTACTCGATGATCGTTGGAAGACGGCATTCATGCAGGATGAAGAGGTGATCCTAGGCTTCAACGACTGCTGCAAAGATGTGCTTTCGCAACCCCCAGTATCTGATAACCGGGTATCAAGCGATTGTGCAAATATTAACTGGGATCCGAGTTCTGCTCTGCGATCAGTGGATGGATCTGCACCCGGAGTAGACGGTATCACACCAATGGACATCAATCAAATGGATCCGACTTTCATTACCTCTTCCTTAGATTGCTTATTGGCTTGTTCGCCTTATCCTACTCGCATGAAAGTGGCCCGTGTAAGCTTGGTGCCAAAAAGCTCCAACCCTTGCCGCCCTGAAGACTTTCGCCTAATTTCCGTAACTTCAGTCTTCACTAGCTTTCTTCATCGAATTTTATTCCTTCACTGGTTTCCTACATTCGCAGCCGATCGTCTTCAATTTGCTTTTCTTCTTAAAGATGGCTGCTTTGAAGCCCCCACCATATTACACCACATTAAGATATTCACACTTGAATGGTATACCTTTATCCATTGCTTCTCTTGACATTTCAAAATTCTTTGATTCCATCTTCTACGCTTCCGTTGTTCCGGCAACCACATCTTTCAGCACCACACTTTTCTTCTACATTACTTAAAATCTTATTACTCCTCCGGAACTTCACTCTTCAACGGTCTGAGGATTCACCCAGGACATGGACTCCGCCAGGGAGATCCACTTTCTCCCTTGCTCTTCATAATGGCACTTCAGGAAGCATTACACACGCAGCCTGACACAGTGGGTTTCCCCAGAGGGCACAATCGATTGTGTCGCTTACGCAGATAATGTCGTATTATTTGCTGGTGACCGAGAATCCCTGATCGAAACCCTAGGGCGATTTAGGCAGGATATACATTATCTTGGCTTATCAATAAACCACATGAAATCGATGGTAATGGATATCACCGTCAACAGAAAAAGAAAAATATTGCCCATTTGGAACACTGCGCAGCCCCCCTGTGTCACCCTCCAGATCCCCTTGATCCGACCATCCGGGGAATTCCGGCTACTTGGCGTAACATTTGATTGGAGGGGTAAACGTCCGTCAAACCCTCTTGACCAACTCAAGACACAACTGCAAGAAATATCCCAAGACCCTTCAAACCCTACCAGCGCATGGATATCTTGCGCACCTAACTTTTACCACGTCATACACATTGTCTCTCATTGGCGATAGTGCACCAGTAGACCAACAAATCGATGGATACGCTGGTCCTGGCAAGTATACAAAAAGGGCTACGACTCCGCAAGGACACCAGCAACGCTTTCTTCCACCCATCAATTGCGGATTTTGGCCTGGGGGTTCTGTGACTTTCTAGTATGATCCCATTGTCTCAAAAGGACCGGCTAGAGCGCCACCTATCACTCTCCCACCAAATTACCAGCTGGGTTGTCCGGGACATTTCAGCGGCTACCATCCAGCGCCTTGCCAAGAAATCCGTAATCATTGGAAATCAAGTGGTCTTTGACAAACGTGACGTGAAGAAACCATGGAAGAAATCACTGCTACAATCTGTAGTCGGACCTTTGCTTCGGTGAGTATTTACGGCACCAGCGTCTCATAAATAGATAAGAAACCCCCAGCGATGGAAACACTTTGGTGGTGCTCCTCCTAACACTCCAAGTCCAACTTTGAAACCCAGAGCGAATTCTTCCTAGACTCTTCATCAAAGGAACCCAACCTGGATTAGGGGCGCTGTCGACAATATCTCGATGTTCCAGAGGACGACCACGGCCAAACCCACCCGATCTTTACTGCAGGGACACTTGCAAACAAAACGAAACACTTTCCCACGTCTTGCAGTCCTGTGCAGTAACCCACGATGCTCGCTGTAAGAGGCGCAACGATATCGTAAAGCAATTATCCAACATAGGTCGTCGGATAGTAGTCTAAATCATCCCGGAACCTCGCATCCCAGCAGCATCAACTACATCAAGCCGGATATAATCGTCATCAATAACTCCACAGCACACGTAATGGAAGTGGCAACATGTGACAACTATAGTATGTCCAGTAGCTACCAACTAAAAAATTGACAAATACAGTGTAAGTGTTCATGTGAAAGTCATAGCCCGCTTTGTGCGCTTGGAATTTCCAGCGGAATTAAATCTCATGCATCATCCGATAATCATCAACAACCGGGACCATATATTCCCAGCCTCCGCTAAGCACGTTTCAGCACTGGGGCTCACCAAACTTGATATATCCGACTTGTGTGTGTCAACTATGAGAGGATCCCTTCAAGTTTACGACACCTAAATGCGGGGTTCAATGTCACAAAAAATATCACACTAACACCGTACACTCAGACGTTCGCGACCGTTTCCGAGCATTGTTTGCTTTTTCTACGAATACTGTTACAATATTACTCCAGGACAATTGTCCAATCACGACGAATTTATAGAATACCCAGATCTTGTGTTATGCATGAATTTGCGGAAAATATTTGTTCATTGGCTCCAATTCGCATTAAAGGGAACCTTGGTCAATTCAATCTCTGGGACATAACTGATGAGGCAGATGGGTACAGGTTGTCAGCAGGTCCTGATATTGCACTTCAAGACCGATTTACAACATTGTAGCTCTCATCTTACAACCGGGTTCGTAGAAGTAACCTGAAGATACCTCAGCAGTGAGCCAGTACTGTCCAGCCATCTGTACTCCTCCGTGGTAGTGGTGAATTAAGGTGGACGGTGCAACACACATAAGTGAACAACAGCAGACAACAGATCAGTGATGAAAGTGTACGGCAATACTTTGGAAATGCGGTGCGTCAATTAACCACATTAATGAGGATAAACAAGGGTCTGCTGGATGCGTCCCGAATACTACTCGGTAGCAGTGAGACGTAAGAAACGTGCCAACAACTGGAAGGTAGGGAGGATAGAGGTACTTGGACCCAACGTATAGTGCAAACACTACAAGGAATGGAAACCGAATCAGTAAGAGTGAAGAGCAACGTGGCACGCACCTATCGAGCAGAAAGTGTATATTCGGTGTACAGTCAGGAAACAAAACGGATAATCATAAAGCACAAACACCAGTGGAATCCGATGTTGTGAAACACTGAAAGTGTGCATGGTTCAGGTTCACTACACTTCATGTGGGGTTTACCATATGGGTGCTTGCGCATAAACGAAAAACGAAGGTGGTAAGAAACTAATAAGTAAATAAAAGATGCTCAAAAGATTGCAAAAGATTGTAGATTTAAATCAAATGTGACCCTGAATGGAGACTTCGCAGCTGCCACAGAGTTCCTACGAATACTCTACCAATCTAGTTGTGTATACAATGCATATAACAAATGACTGAATTTCGCCATCTGTTATCCGTGTTCGGGTCGGCTCATCCAACATGAATTTGGAACAGGACGCGTCACTCATGTTCTCCTACTTGATACAATGCTGATCAGTTAAATATAATTGTTTTCAAAATTTTTCTTCTGGGTCGGTCTCTCCACGCGACTAATCGGCCGAATTTCTAAACGGTGACCTCATCCATGTATCTTGAACGGGCTAACCACCACGAGGGAAACCTAGATGCGATCACTCATATAGGCATTAATAGTTTTCCTTTTTCTCTTTCAGCTTATAATGTCGCGAACTCCACGAGACGCTTACCATCCGTTTCGTCGCATTTATGAACAAATAACCTCCCGCCGCTCGGGGAATTAGTTTACATAACTTAAATTTTGCCATCAGTTCACCGCTGTGTTTGTGATGCTTTAATAAAACACACGAGGCCATCGTGAGTCGCGTCATTTCCTTCTTCTGACTTTATTTCTTTGTTTGAGGGAAAAACAAACTGCATGACTATCTCCGGTAGACTCAATTTGGTCCGGTTGAACGTAAGGTATAGTGATGGTCATTACAACCAGAGGATAAGATGTGTCAAACGGAGAATCTCACCGCAGTCCGGGTATGCTTCGTTGCGTTTACCTCTCGGAAGATGGTTTAATTTCCTGCAGCATGCCTGCCAACAGCTTTACAAACCGAAAAAGTCAAGACTTCTACAGATAGACAGTAACTCATGCTAGTAAAACCATACCTTCGTGGTATTTGTCACATTACCATAAGCTTTTGACAGCCATCTCTTCCGGAATTCAGCTAAAGTTGTGGTTGCCACTTAGTACCGTCATATGAATGAGGTCAATATAGCGTCGCAGTTAACTTTTAGTGTTTGTGCTGCGGCAACACTAGTCAGTTTATGGAGGGGGGGGGGATTTAATATACTAGTGTCTAACCACCTTCGGAAATCCGAACCGTGTCAGGTCCATCGGTCATGATGGATGAACGATTGCGAATCCTGTGGGTACCACTCCGATACTAGTCGCAAGCGTTGACACGTAAGAGGCGTGCCAAATAGGAGAATATGGAGAACAGTAAGAGTGGCTGAACTCAATCTGCAATTCCAGGAGCTACGAAGAATGGAGAGCCTAGAGAAGCGTGGCAACGTGACTCACCGGGTGAACTTAAATGTCGGGTTACACGTTCAATCCAATCAATGAGCTATTACAAAACACAATTACCGATAAAATTCATGTTTCCAGCTCACTATAGTCATAAACGCACAATCCAAGCAGTGACCATGCTATAATATATTAAGTTCATCCCTATAATCCAACTTGCGGTTTGTCAAGACAACTTGCATATGTGTAAAGTGATCGAAGGAAGTTTAGTTTGACGTTGAGCATGAGCGTACACATCTTGTTTGCCGGAAGATGCTTACTGTCTGACATCCGACGAAGCAGTAAGTACCGATTATTTGACGCCAGCACTTCCTGGACTCATCTGTGGTTAGGACTGTGAATAGCCTCCTGCAACTTAGGAGGCTGTGTGCCGCCTTACTCAATTCAAGTATAATGACAAATGAATAAGTCCTGAAGGCGTTTATATGGACGCATTTACATGGATGTTCTGAGATCGGCAAAACTCCATCAACACTCTTAACGCGCGTTTGCCTGGGGCTGTAGATGTGGCTTACCGCACGAGTCGATAAGCGCGCTTTTATTAGATAACTGACTTGTGCACAATTTGCAACTGCCAGTCCGTTTGTAATGCGTGCTGACTCAGGGAAATGAAAGCATTTCAAGAGTGCTGGCTAGGTTATAGCCCGTTCCGTTATCTGCCCTGGTCGCGACTAATATGCATACAGAGATAGTAATCGTGACATCGGAAACAAACGATCGATTATGTTGACAGGATTCCCAATGCATCAGATTTGCATCAGACTTGACGGAACAAACAGTGTACCCTGTTAGCTTGGTCATGCTCACACCCAGCACTGTATCCGCAGGCCGGTTTCACTCTCACTACGCACACTATGCATACTGAATCGAGCTGAGACTCGAATTATGGCTGTGGTGGTGTCCGCTAGTTATTAACTTCGGATATGGTCACACCGAACAAACAGACTGAGGTGCACTTCAAGGTAACTCGCAGTCCTGATTGAGGTCGTCTGTCCTAGTCCTTTTACGGTCGATCCAAAGCAACTGCAACGATGCGAGATATCAGAAGTGCGAAAACAAGAACTCGATCGTTCAAGCACATATATGTATTTGTCATTGCAAAAGGAATAAAGGGTTATTACAAGTCCAGTACTTGGGTTAACCTGTCGAAGCTCCACTCCGCCATATCATCTGAGTTATGCTCGAATGCTTGCATATGTAATTTCACATAAACGGCGTTCAACATTACTAGCTTTCGCATGAACTAGCATTTTGTGCCTGGATCGCATCACATAACCTCAAGCTAGATTACGGTTTGTTTGAAAGTGAAGCTGGATCATTTCGGGCATAGAGATTCCACCCACGCTTCTGAATTCGTCGTAAAGGCTTTCAGCTAGGCAGACTTCTGCGCCGGCTAGGATGATAAACTGTCGCTTTAGGTGCATGCAAAAATCGAGTCCGAAAGCTGTTCCAACACGACAGTGGGGGCTATTTATCCTGCTTAACTTGAACGTTGCACAAGACAAAATCGTGATGACATTCAGGCATGTGTAGTCGCCCATTGCTTTACTTAGCGCATTTGTTATAGTTCTAAAACAACGAATTATTGTTCCCTTTACGAGTAGTATGGAAATCATCAGCTTAAATGCGCCAGGTTAAATGATGCTGAGAATAGTTGGGCGTCTGCCGCCCTGCTTGCGACATCCGTTACGCACATGTAGTTGACAGCACCATTTACGGGAAGGCAATCTGTCTAGCTCAAAATATTACATTAGCCTTGAACGTCAGTCTCGGTCCGGTCCAAGTCCACCGGACACTCGCCCGTAACGTAGTTATGATGCGGATTGCGTGGATTCCAAAACTACGTCCTGGAAGGTAGGTTGAGCGAACGGTATCCGTTCATATGTTGAGTAATTATACCATCTTAGTTTCCTCAAACCGGTGGAATTGATTTCAGACCTATGGCGTAAAAGGATGTCTGCTTTAACCGCAAATGGGGAAAGGTGCGAGCGAAGTTGCAAGCTACCAAAACTTTTTGTTATGATGAGATAGCAACGAAGAATCTGCTACCCAGTATCTCATGGTGCTATGTGAACCCATCAGCTTTTTAATGATCCAGGCTGAATTTCGAGCTGTAAGCAGCTGTGAGCATATGTCGGTGGAGGAAATTCAGAGCGCAACACGGCTGAACTAACAGAACATGTTTCATAGCTGTAGAGGACAACACGCACTCTAAAGAGAATTCCAATGGAGCATAGGACATTGAGCAACTAATTAATAAATGTACAGATTTCTCCCTCGGATACGGTTCAGACTTGTCTGATGTACGCAATGGAACGGAATTGGTTAAACAGTGCAAAGCACAGTGGTGTCACTCTATCTAGTGAGATCGTATCTACTGTCTGAATAGACACGAGGAACAGTTAAATCGACCGATATTAACTGGAGCTTGAGTGCTGATTATGGGCTTATGAGAAGACCGTGTGTGCGACGCCAAATGTTGGACCGTTAACTCCTAGGCACCAGCGGGAGCAGTAGCTTTATTTCGATCTGGTTTGAGTGACTACAAGTTCTTCTCTTGCGGGGCCATCAAATTCCGCCATTCTCTTCATATTTCTCTTTCCGGTTACCATTGACACACACTTTTAAGGACACTTACTAAAAACTCATTGTTTTACTTACCTACTGTTTTGCTACATTCAGTACCCTGATAACCTTTAGCCGCGGTGCGTTGGCGCTGTTACCATTTTCCGCGCAGGTCAACAAGGATAATTGATCTATCTGAAATAATGTACGTAGAATCTACTAAAAGCGGAATAAATCTATAAAAAGCATTGTGCTGGATGGAGGGTTGGTCTTAGCAGGAAAATGGTAACAGGCATGGGCATACCCACTTTTCTACCCTCCAAAGCCCGTTCGCTTCTGGGGAAAATGGAAGAGTTAAAGGGCGTTTTTAACCGTCGTGAATCCCTACAAGTAGGAATGGTTATACTCCAAGAGATATAGCTCTATAAGGATTTTGAAGACACCGTTGTTGCAATTGACTGTTCCATCGGTTTTTTTGTTGATCACCCGTTCACCTAGCGGAAACGTGGTAACGATGTCATCACCTTTAGTAACGCTTCTTGGCACATGTCAGTGAAAAGCTTATTCTGCTACCCATCATAATGTATCGATTGCCTAGCCCTAAAGTGTGAGCCAGGATATATGTGTGGGTACCGCTGATAGGTACGATGATTTTACAGCTTATGTTTTTGGAAAAATCGACCAGTCATTGTGCATAATTGCTGGTGATTTCAATAGACTTGACACCACTTTCCTTACAACTTTCGAGCCAAATAAAATTATAATATGTCACATCAAGTTAGAGGAAACCATGGATTTTGTATTTTTATCAATAATTTGAAGATATTTTTGGTCTGCAATCTAGCACAGGTCCTCCGATAGTCACGCTATTCCCCGTTGTCTAGAGTATGACAAACCACAAGGACAACACTGGCTGTGATAACAGTAATGGAGATGGAGACAATCCCTTCCCTCAAACACAGTGCGACTGAGATAAATGACTGCTTCTGCAGACACTTTATGTTTCGATACAGATGTGACCAAATGACAGATTAACTGAACTTCTGTTATGAGTTCTACTGCCCGACAGAAGCCAACTTTATCTGTGCCGATTGTCTTTCGTCAGCTCATCTCAAGTATCTTCGTAGTCTCAACCTAACAACTTACAAGAGTATAGATCGTGCTTTAGTGAGGTTCCTCAAACCTAATATTAATGAAGAAGTGCAACACTTCAATCACATCCATCTCCAGACAATTCCGGGAAACAACAGTTATGGTGAGATTTAGCAGATGATGAAAGGAGCATTTTGGTGTCACTCATCAAAGCACCAATTATGAAGTAAACATAGCAACGTTTAATCACAACTTCTGCTGCACCAGCAGTGACTCATCCTCTGAATCCTCACCTGCACGGGTTCAGTGGTCTGCCAACTAAGTACCGCCTGTCGACTTTGCATCGCTGCACAAGAACCTAACTCAGCTGCACTCAAGCGAGACATGCAGACCTAACCGGTAGTCTTCCGTCTTCGTGAAGCAATGCGCCGAATTTTTATCCCAGCCTCTGGCCGAGTTGTGTACACCTTGTGCTTAAAACAAGAAAACATAGCGGATGGTTAGAGGATTGATAGCAAAACGCCAGAACCGAAGAATGGAATGAGTCTAACGCCTCTGCCTCGGTGGCTTTGAAGGTTTTTGGGAAAATCATCATTGCAAAATGGATGGCCCAATCCCGTTTGGATAATCCATT